AGCTACGGGGAATAGATTATTCATGCCCACTCTGCAGAGTGTAAGCAGACCCTCAGGGCAAGGTAATGCTGCTGATTTCATTCATTTGGATTCTTTGTCCACTCTGCCTGTGCAGTGGAGTTGAATCCAATACCATAGCTGCAGCTGTACCACAGTGGTCATGTGTGGATTCCCTGGCCATTGGTTGGTTTCACTGCAGAATTTGGCATGTAAATAGGTATTCTGTCTGTTCTCTCTAAGGAATGCCTGCAGCTTGCAGATAAATTCTCTGTTGATTGATTTGTGTATATGTGTGAGTATCCTGAAGAACGTAAACAAATTCTGCAGAACTTCAGCAGTTCCGTATAATGTCTGCTTTCATTAACCTTCCTCTAACTGTGCCACAGATCTTGGGCAGTCATATCAGTATTGCTCCTTAATGCCCTAGTGGCCTAATTCCAGAATGGAATATAGGTGGATAAGAGCTGCATCTAATGGTCAGAAATACAGGGTTCCCATTGGAAACTTTAGTTGCCAGGTGGGTTGAAAGGGAGATATGGTGTGTATCCAGTTTCCAAAGAGTGCTAACGTGTGTTTCCTGGTGACTTAACCAGGAGTGTGGAATTTGTAACTATAAAAGGCTCAGACCCCACTAGTAAAATCCTCCCCCTCTCTGTTGTCTCCATGATACATGGTGATCTTTGGTGATCTCTGGGTGATGTCTGTCTGTTTCCCCAGGCAAAAAAATAAAAATAAACAAGCCATGTTGCAGACTAAGAGAGTAGATCCTGTTTCTGTTATGGATTGAGAAGGGTATTTTATATCATCCTGTTAATGATACTTTACCAAATGTTTTTAACACTTCCAGTTGATTGTAGATATTCAACAAACATAGCAGTGTTGGAGAATGACCAACGTCCCTGGTTGGAACCCAGTAATAGCCATTGCCAGAGCATTAAATTAAAAATATTAATTTCACCCCAGTCTAGAAATAGTTTTATGCTTTTGTTTTCTTTTTTTAATAATAGTCCCCACACAAACAAACATACAGACAGCATTGGAGAGGGCCTTATAAAATGAGCTTCTAGCCAGGTGTGGCTCACACCTGTGATCCCAACACTTTGGGAGGCTGAGGTGGGCAGATCACTTGAGCTCAGGAGTTTAAGACCAGCCTGGGCCAAATGGTGAAACCCTATCTCTACAAAAAATAGCCAGGTGTGGTGGCTCTTGCCTGTAGTCCCAGCTACTGGGGAGGCTGAAGTGGGAGAATCACTTGAGTGCAAGAGGTTGAGGCTGCAGTGAACTGTAATTGCACCACTGCACTTCAGCCTGGGCAGCAGAGTGAGAGATCCTGTCTAAAAAAATAACACGAGCTCCTTACCAAATATATAAATTTACAGATCACCTTTATATGCCTTTTAGAGTATCACCTTCGTGAGAAATAAATTTTAAAATGAGGTCATTTGATGGTGTGAATAGGGCAGTGACTTCCTGCTTTATTTATAATCAACAGGAGGGACAGCTAGGCTAATTCAAATTCCATTAACAAATTCCATTCCGTCTTCCCTTTGGTGATAGGTCCTTAGCTGGGTTCCTCAGCATGTTATTTAACATGATGAAGTTCCATACAGTCATGTTTATTTGCTTGAGGGAAGGATGGTCACAATTAGTAACTCCATGTAAAATCTGAGCTAAGAATCCTAGTTTTTTACGTTAAAAAAAGCAAATTTAACATTGTATTCAAAATCCCAGTTTTTTACCTTAAAAAAAGACGTTTAATATTGTATTTTAAATAGAGCACCAACATTTTAATCATTGTTCTGATAATACTTTATCTCTTAAGATACACCAGTAGGGCAGATGTAAATTGCAAAGAGTAGCCAAGACAGGCGAGTAATTAACCTGGAAGGGGCAAATCATTTAACTGAGGGTGAACACTGGGTACCTCCTTTGGATGCATGCTTCCAGTCAAAACCTTGAGGTAACTCCAACTGTATCAGTATTGGACAACAAACTGCCTTCATTTGGCAGTCCTAATCATTTTGTGTTTGATGCAGTCATAGGGGATGCATCCTTCACAGGGGGAAAAAACACTACCGATGGCAAATATTTCCTTAAGTTAGACCTCCACATTTTTAGCGCTTTCTGCATTTAATAAGAATATTGGTATAAGCACACTGGCAAGACCTTTATAACACCTTATTTTGCTGGACTTACCTAGGTATCTTTGGGAGTTTTCACAGGATTATCACCTCTTCAAATGTTTCAGTAAACCACAGTTCTGGTGGCTTTGCTCTCTGTTCAGTAATGTGCTTCCCTAATGATTCCAGCTGTCAATGTATAATTCTGACAGTATTGGCCCAGCCAAGCACAGAGCACTGCATGAGGAATTTCTACTCTGGATCACATTTCAGCCTGAATTCTTATCATTTAACTCTTGATGGTCACTTCATTGGACTCCTGTGAGTACCTTGCGTAGTTACCATGCAAGTTGTCAAGCACCGATACTAAGCATTAGTCCTTCAAAAACAGGATCATGATTCTGGTTGTACCTGAGATGTCTCAGTTACCATCTTCAGCTCAACACCTTGACAGTCCAGATCTTGTAGCATATCCTTATGCAGACGTGGCCTCTAGGTACTAGAAGTAAGACTGTATTTCTGAACGACTTAAAGAAGGACAAACAGAATTAACTTGTCTACATCCAAAGCTCTACAGAGGATTTTCCCCCATATATTTGTGAAAGATGTTGAACATGGTATCTCTTTGGTGAAAGTCATTGGGTATTGGCCTATCAGAATTAACCTGACTGTAGACAAGTTTCTTATATGACCTGAAATGCTTTCTGCTTATCCAGAGGGCCTTAATGCCTTTGATTACTGTTTGCTCCTTGGGTGTGAGACAGCCCTAGCTCTAGGTGGGCCACAGAAAGATTCCAGGTTGCAATTACCTCTGCACTAACACTTGAAGAAGTCGTCAGTTCTCAGCAACTGCCACCTCTACCAACAAGAAAGTTCTGTTTGTGCTGAAGAAAGTCATCAGTGCTTGCTGAGGAAAAGCATGGGCATGTGTAAAATTTGGGTCTGTGAGGTATGATATCTCATTGCACCCCATATCCCACCTGCATCTAACAGCAATATTCTGCACAAGTCTGTTGTCTCCATTTCTAACAACAGCATGAAGCCCTCATGGTTGGAGATCAACATCACACAGCAGCTAGCCATTTAGATGATGATATTTGTGGACAGTATATCTGTGACAGAAGTTTGAAGAGCTAATGAAACATTTTTCAGGGTCAGGAAAAGGCTGGCTCTCCCAAGGAAGACATTCCAGTCAACAGAAAGGAAGAAAGGAGATGCTAACCTTTGCAGAAAAGAAAAAAGACAGGGGTCTTCCTCCCTGAGCGTCTGTAGAACCAAAGCCGAAGAAAACCGTCCTGGTTGTGAAGTTTCAGTCTCTAGCCAAAGAGAGGCTCAAAATCCATCAGCGTTTTCCAAGATGATCATCTATCAGTTCTTACTCTGTAGGCTGTCAAACACCTACTGCTCTGCACACCCCTTTATAGCTCTCAGGAAGAGACGAATTCTACCAGAAGCACATCACTTACCACCAGAGCCATTGTTTTTCCCTTCACCCCTTTCGCCCTTAACTCTCAAATGTTTCCCAGAGATGTGACTATATTCCTCTCAAGACAAAGAGTATTTGCCTTTCCCCCCACTGGTGAACATATGAGGAATTTACAGCAGAATTTTAGTTGTGTTTGCCACCTGCCTTCAGTTTGTGGACTCCAGTGCTGAAATCTAACCACTGATCAATTTCTTTTTATCCTCCAGTGATGTAGTACCTGAGGGTATGCTGCATTTGGTTCCCTTAGTAAAACACCTCTGGTGCTGTGGTATGATACTGTGAACCTTATTATGCTCTAGAAATCTGATTCTAACTCACTTATCATCTGAGGTCCAGCATCTCCCACAGGAGGCTTGGTCTTCTTGCACTTTGAATCCTACACACTACTGCCCTTTTGTTAGCTGTGGTCTTGTTTTGAAACAACATGTTGGGGCCAGCAGCAGGAGCCCTTTTGTTCTGAGTTCTTTGTTTGGGTCCTAAACCAACCCTAAAGGTTTTTTTGTTTTGTTTTCATCTCCAGAAGAACAGCAGTCTACCGTAGTGTTTATCTTTTGGAGAAAGGAAAAAGGCTTAGCCTTTCCTTTTGAGAAAATTATTATCCTCTCTGTTCCTACTTCCACCATGCCTTTGGTTCTTTTCCCTTTTGTGAGTATCACCTCTTCTACATTTTTACCCTGAAAGCACTTGAGAGAGAATTAGTAGTTTTGTTGCACATGGACTTCAGATTATTTAAGGGAAAGGGAGGGACTTGCCTTCTCAGACTGGAAGATTGAACCCAGATTGTGCAAATCTAGGTTTTAGTCAACTTGCAGGGATGGACTCTGACAGGTAAGTAAGGTTTTTCGATGGATTCAAAAGAATGAGGACCAAACGTAGCACTTACAATACTCCTAAGGTGGTAAATAACATGCTACGGCATGTTCTTATTTGTATCCGCACCCTCATTTCCACCAGCCCAAGGCTTTGTGTGTGGTCTGTGGTCTGTCAGGATCATGATATTTCAGCCCTGATTGCCAAGAACACTTGAAATTGGATTCCACCTCTAATGACTACTTCTAACTGCTCCCCGAGGCAGGTTTATCTGCCAATCATTAATCCAAAAATACTTCGCAGTTGTCCTTTCTCTTTGGATCTTGAATGTTTGCCCACATTGCACACTACATCAGATGTTGCATGTTAGAAGGGTTATATGATATAATAAGGAAAGGTGAAGTCAGAGTCTTGGTTAGTCTTCACTTTATTCTAGTAAGAAAAATTTTGCTTAGCTATCCTCGTTTAAATTCCCTGGTCTACGATATGTATGCTCCCCCAAGTCAGGAATGCTGGTTAACCTTAAAATATATAACAAGTATTTTTCCTGGAAGCAAAAAAAAAAAAAGTTTGGCATTTAAATTGTTTTTGCTGTGCCCATGTGGCTGAAGTGAGGTTTTCCACAAGCTGATGACACTATGAATACCTAATAGGTGTAACTATGGTAGATGACAAAAGTATACACAGAACATGTTGCCTGCTCTTGAGAGGCTTACAGTTTAATAGAATAATTCAATTCATTAAATATTTGCTGAACTCATATGCTGTATCCTAGAGCTACGAAGCCTTCAAGAGAACTTCTTATTTGGTAGAAAAGCCATGTAAAAATAATTACAGAACACTGTGGTAAGTGCAGTTATAGAGGTTTGTACTGGAGCAAGATTCATTCAACATACATATAGAGCATCTATCATATAACAGATATTGTTCTACATAGTGAGTTTGTAGTGCAGAATCAAAGTGAGATAGTTTTTGTCCTTGCGATGCTTGTAGTCTAGTAGGGCAGACAGACATTAAATAAATATTTAATGTCAATTTGTGATAAATGACAAAAGTAAAAACAAAGTGCTATGAGAGAATTTTAGGGGCAGAAGGTAAACTTACATTGAATGTAACAGAATCAGGGAGTAGGGGATATTTATATGTTGAGACCTGGAAAATGAGTATAGATCTCTTCCTGCTACTCACGTAAGGGGATTAGGAAAGACGTTGGCTAGTTAGAGCTGAAAGGCCAGTGTGGCAAAGAGTGGTGAACTAGGGAGAGGTTGAGACAGGGTTGGAAAAGACAGGAGCCAAGATTATGCAGGACCTTCATGGCATTGGTAGAGGTTTTAGATTGAATTCTAAATACTTCGGGTGCCTGGCGCAGTGGCACACACCTGTAGTTCAGCTACTTAGGAGACTGAGGCAGTAGGATCACTTGAGCCCAAGAGTTCAATGCTGTAGTGTTCGTGATCCCACTTGTGAATAGCCGCTGCACTCCAGCCTGGGCAACATAGTGAGACCTCACCCCTGTAAAAATAATACATACTGTGGGAAACCAGTGGAGGGTTTTACATACGTAAGAGACCACTGTGGAGTGATCTTTCAGGAGAAAGAAAAGAGACAAAAACAGACGAGACTGCTTTAGAAGGCTCTTGCTGTGGTTTAAGGGTGAAACAATTATGAGTTGACCTTCAGCAGTACCAAGAAAGATAAAGGAAAGTGGGAAGAACTGAGAAAGAATGAAGAAAATTTGGAAATATGGTTGGAAGGATGAGGCTTTAAGAGAAAGATGACACCCAGTTTCCTGGCTTGTGCAACTGAGTAGGTGGATGTGCCACTTACAGAGATGGGAAGGTTGGGAAGGGGAACATGTTTGTTGGGGAAGGGGAAGATCAAGAGTTCAGGGCAGGTTTTACAGAGAAGGTAATCCTTAAAGTGGGTCAGACATAAGACGTTGTTGTAAAAAGGTAAATGCCAGATCAAGATGAGTAATACAGATAGAAGGTGCCCTGCGCTAAGCAGAAGAGATCAGCAGTTAGGAAGGGTAGGGAAGGTTTCTTGGAAGACATGGGACATAAACTTGCCTGTGTGGATTGGATGGTACTTGGATTAGTGCAGGAAAAATATTCCAAGTATAGAAATCATATAAATAAAAATATCAAGATAGATTGTGTCTTGTGAGTTAATGCATAAGAATGAAGTAGACTTGAGAAGGTTGAATTAGAAATGAGATGGAGAAATAGGAGTCAGATTTATTAGGCTTTCTAACATAGAAGTTGGCATTTTAGAATAGTTAATCTGGTATTTATGTGTTGAATTAATTGAAATCAAGTAGATTGATTTTTAATTTTGTGTTTTATGTGTTGGTGTCAGAATAGAAATAAGGACTTGGATTGGACTTAAAAATCCAATGGGAATAGAAAAAAAAATCAACAGGCCACAAGTAACTTTATTGGGTTGGGGAAGGAAAAAGCATAGTTAATATTCAAGAACTTAAAACTTGATAACTGGGAAGATGATTTTGTCAGAAGTAAAAAAGTGGGGAATGGGGCCGATAGGGGTTGGAATCAGACGTTTTGAATTTTAAATATGTTAAAGAGGAATTTCCCGTGGGGTGAAGTGTCTCATGAAGAACATCGAATCAGAGCAGACAGAGCATATCTGTGACTTCACTGTTCAGGTTTCCTTTTTTAAAAAAACGTTGAGCAAAAAGGAATCAGATTCTGCATAAACCCTCAGATTGAGAGATAACACTACTCAATAGCTCTGACAAAACAGAAAAACTGATTGTTCTTGATCCTTTATTGTGTGTATCTTGTAGTACTTTTTTTCCCCTTAATTTTATTATCCTGCCAACATAATGTTAAGTGAATTTTCCATACTTTAAAGATAATTCTTTTTATTACTTTTATGAGATTGTGCTATTTGTTCTTTTTTTCTTCATGAGTCTTGCCTCCTTGCTCTGTCCCTCCAACTTCCTACACCTCGTAAAGTCTCTTTCAAGCAAGTCTGGTGGAAAGACGCTTTCACTTTGAAAGTCTGATGAATACTATTATCCAGTCAAAAACTTTGGCTTTTGGTCATGCATTCTTTTGATGTCCAGATCTTTTGAGATTGTGCAACCTGTAGACTATTTGCTGACCAGATGGATGACTGTCCTTAAATGTTTAGTCATGTTCTGTTTGGCTGCCCTGTTTTAGAGAAAAGTGCTTGGAGGGTGGAGACTTTCTCCTATGAAGAGCTGATGCATTGGCTACTTTCAATTTCTTTGTCTTAGCATCTTCTTGCTACCTCCCACAGGGATCCTTATGGCTTTGGAGACAGTCGAGATTCAAGGCGTGATCGATCCCCAATTCGGGGAAGTCCAAGGAGAGAGCCCAGGGATGGCAGAAATGGCCGGGATGCCCGGGATAGCAGAGACATTCGAGACCCCCGAGACTTGCGGGACCACAGACATAGTAGAGACTTGCGGGATCACAGAGACAGCAGGAGTATGCGTGATGTTCGGGACATGAGAGATCTTAGAGACTTTCGTGATCTAAGAGACTCTAGGGATTTTCGAGATCAGCGAGACCCCGTGTACGACAGATACAGAGACATGAGAGACTCCCGAGATCCTGTGTACAGGTACATATGTACTCTGTTTTTTTCTAAGTTCTTTTTATGTATATTCTACTAAACCAATGGAAAGCTCTGTAAGAGCAGTAATTTTATCAGCCTTATATTTCTAGTGTCTGTCAAGTGGTAGATGTGCTGCTGCTCAGTAAATTTAGCTGAATGTATGAATGATTTTAAAAATTTTTAACAGAAAATAACTAGTGTTGACAAGGTATGGAGAAATTGAAACCCTCAGAAATTGCAGGTAGGAATGCAAATTGGTATAGCCACTGTGGAAGACAGTTTGGGAGTTCCTTAAAAAGTTAAACGTAGAATTAACTATATGATCTATCAGTTCCATTCCTGAGTATACACTCAAAAGAATTGAAAAGAGGGACTCAGATAGTTTTACATGAATACCTGTAGCAGTACTATTCACAATAACCAAAAGGTAAAAGAAATCCAGATGTCTGTGGGCAGATTAATAGATTTTTTTTTTTGTTTTTGAGACAAGATCTTGTTTCCCAGTCTGGAGTGCAGTGGCATGATCACAGCTCACTGCAGCCTTGACCTCCCAGGCTTAAGTAATCCTCCCTCCTCAGTCTCCCAAGTAGCTGGGAGCATATGCCACCACACCTGGCTAATTATTTTATATAGAGGTGGAGTCTCACTATGTTGCTCAGGCTGGTCTTGAACTCTTGAGCTAAGTGCTGAGACTACAGGTTTAAGCCACTGCACCTGATGTGGATTTTTTTTAAGTGGTATATATTTATACAATGTGCTATCATTCAGCCATAAAAAGGAATAAAATTCTGATCTGTGTTGCAGTATGAAGGCCGTTGAAAACATTATGCTAAGTGAAATAAGCCGGTCATAAAAGACAAATATTGTATGAATTCACTTACATGAATTCATATTATATTGTATGATTTATATTGTATGATTTCACTTATATGAAATATCAAGAATAGGCAAATTTATAGAGACAGAAAGTAGATTAAAGATTACCAATGGCTGGGGAGAGGGGAGTTATTTGACAAATACAGAATTTCTGTTTGAAGAGATGAAAAATTTTAGAATTAGATAATGGTGATGGTTGCACAACCATTGTGAATACAATGCTACTGAATTGTATACTTAAAAATTGTGAGGCCAGACACATTGGCTCATGCCTGTAATCCCAGCACTTTGGGAGGCTGAGGTGGGTGGATTGCCTGAACTCAGGAGTTCAAGACCAGCCTAGGCAACATGGTGAAACCCCATCTCTAGTAGTAATAATAGTAATAATAAATAAATAAAAATTGTTAAAATGGCAAATTATTGTTATATACATTTTAGAATTTTTTGAGATAGAGTCTCACTCTGTCACCAGGCTGGAGTGCAGTGGTGTGATCTTGACTCACTGCAACCTCCACCTCCCAGGTTCAAGCAATTTTCCTGCCTCAGCATCCCGAGTAGCTGGGACTACAGGTGCCCGCCACCATGCCCAGCTAATTTTTGCATTTTTAGTAGAGATAGGGTTTCACCGTGTTGGCCAGGATGGTCTCGATCTCCTGACCTTGTGATCCGCCCACCTCAGCCTCCCAAAGTGCTGGGATTACAGGCATGAGACCCTGCACCCAGCTGACATTTTAGTATAATTTTTAAAAGGCACAGGGGAGGTTCATGTAATGTTTCCTCAAAACTAACATCAATAATTCCTGCCAGTTATTTTGCATTTACTATATGCCAAGGACTATGCTAAGTGCTTTTCTGTATATCATCTCTGTTCATCCCCTCTCATCATTTTGTGAGACAGGTTAACTCTTATCAGCCACAGAGCTGATATGCAGTGAGTCCCAGATATAAGCCTCGTTTGTCTAATCCCAAAGAATTCTCTAGATGATTTTTTCAGGATAGGGCAGAGTTTTATCTTTATGAAAATTTCCTTTTCAGGAGAGAAGGCTCTTACGACCGATACCTGCGAATGGATGACTATTGCAGGAGAAAGGATGACTCTTATTTTGACCGTTACAGAGATAGCTTTGATGGACGAGGCCCTCCAGGCCCAGAAAGTCAGTCTCGTGCAAAAGGTAAAGTAGCAGAAACATTCTATTCCTATTATTGATAGAACACTTTACAAAAAAGAGAGGGAACTAATACCAGTACCCCATCTGAAAAGGGGCTAGTGACTTGGCCAAGCAGTGTATAAAAAGAAGAAATACAAATAGCCTGTTAATGGGTAAAGAGCATTTGGCTTGAAAATGATTGTGTGTGTGTGTGTGTGTGTGTGAAAGAGAGAGAGAGAGAGAGAGAGAGAGAGGAGAGACAGACAGACAGACAGAGTTTTGCTCTCGTTGCCCAGGCTGCAATGCAGTGGTGTGATCTCAGCTCATTGCAGCTTCCATCTCCCGGGTTCAAGCAGTTCTCCTGCCTCAGCCTCCTGAGTAGCTGGGGTTACAGGAATGCACCACCATGCCCTGATAATTTTGTATTTTTAGTAGAGATGAGATTTCTCCATGTTTATCAGGCTGCTCTTGAACTCCTGACCTCAGGTGATCCTCCCTCTTCAGCCTCCCAAAGTGCTGGGATTACAGACGTAAGCCACCACGCCCAGCCTGAAAATGATTTTTAAGATGTAGACTAGTACCATCATCTGGTTTAGTCATCCAACAAGAAATAAATATGAAATTGTAGCAATAAGAAATGAACAAAATGCTGGTCACTGTGGCCACACCTATAATCCTAGCACTTTAGAAGGCCAAGGTGGGTGGATCACTTCAGCCCAGGAGTTCAAGACCAGCCTGGGCAACATGGTAAAACCCCATCTCTACAAAAAAAAAAATACAAAAATTATCCAAGTGTGGTGGTGCACCCCTGTAGTACCCAGCTACTCAGGAGGCTGAGGTAAGAGGATTGCTGGAGCCTAGGATGTTGAGGTAGTAGTGAGCCATGATTGTACCATCGCACTCCAGCCTGGGCAACAGAGTGAGACTCTGTCTCAAAAAAAAAAGGAGAAATGAACAAAATATTGGAGCTGAAGACATTAAGTCCTTGCTTTTTGCCCATTGACCAGATAACTGTGACTGCCTGACTATGCAGAATAGGTGTTTGGTTTTTATAACTTTTATCTAACAGCATCTCTTTTTTAGATGAAGACAAAAATGTCTTTTTAAAGCCTGGTTTTTCTCAATACTTTGTTAAAGATTCTTAAATTATTTCATACCTGGCCAAGCTGAAATCTTTAAGAACCTCATTTTTAATTTGTTATAAAACTTTAAGGGCCGGGCGCGGTGGCTCAAGCCTGTAATCCCAGCACTTTGGGAGGCCGAGGCAGGTGGATCACAAGGTCGAAATATCGAGACCATCCTGGCCAACATGGTGAAACCCCGTCTCTACTAAAAATACAAAAAACTAGCTGGGCATGGTGGCGCGTGCCTGTAATCCCAGCTACTCAGGAGGCTGAGGCAGGAGAATTGCCTGAGCCCAGGAGGCGGAGGTTGCAGTGAGCCGAGATCGTGCCATTGCACTCCAGCCTGGGTAACAAGAGCGAAACTCCGTCTCAAAAAAAAAAAAAAAAAACTTTACTATTTGGTTTTTTGTTGTTATTGTTTTTCAAAAAAAGGTCAGCAATAATGCGGATTAGAATAATAATGATTACTGTTCTTGTCTGTCAAGTTGGCAAGACTTGAAAAGAATGACAGTGTACTCAGTGTTGACTAAAGTGTGGAGAAATAGGCACTAGATGATCCACCTCTGTGGAGTTGTAAATTAGTAATAGCCTTCCCATAGGGCACTTTGGCAGTGAATATCAGACACAGCATTAAAATGGCGATGTCCTTTAATCCAGCCATTACATTTTGGTTAATTTATAATAAAAAATATTAATACTAGCTATTTTTAGGAGATAGACCAGGGTATTGATTCAGAGTATTATGACCTTTGCCTATAAGTAGCGCAGGATTTTAAACGAGGCCTGTGACTTGTCTTTATAGAAGGATCCGGTCCTTATTTCAGTTTACCCTCGTGGTGTCTTGCAGAGCGTTTGAAACGTGAGGAGCGGCGTAGAGAAGAGCTTTATCGTCAGTATTTTGAGGAAATTCAGAGACGCTTTGATGCCGAAAGGCCCGTCGATTGTTCTGTGATTGTGGTCAACAAACAGACAAAGTAAGAACCCTTAAATGTTTCTCCCCAGTAAGGAGAAGAGTCAGAGAAATTCAAGCTCCTATTTAGCACCTCTATCCACTGAATTTGAGCTGTGTGTATTCTTGGATCACTGTGCTGTGTTAGCCAGAATTCTTTCAGTTATAGGTGACAGAAAACTCAATTCAAACAGGCATAAGCCCAAAAGAGACATTTTTTATTTAAGCAGAAAGTAACTGGGAAGTTGAGGCATGGCCACATCCAGGGTCAAACCGTGTCATCAAGACTTGGTCTCTGTGTCAGTCTCTAAGTACCGCTTTCCTCAAATTTACCTTTGTTCTCAGGCAGGTTTTGTGCTTGAAGAAAGCCAGAATGGCTCTAAACATGTGTCTTAGCTTAGCAAGCCAAGTAGAAAGAGAGCTTCTCTTTCCCATTGTTTCTTCTTAACGTTCTGGAATTCTTCTTAGGTTGACCTGACTCACTTTCCCATTCTTAAGCCTGTCACTTTGACAGGGTTGCTGAATGTTCTGATTGGCCAGGGCTGTCATGTTACCATCCCAAGAGCTAGAGGTGGGATTAGCCCTGTGGAACCATGCAGACTGAGAGTGGAAGGAGGGTATAGATGCTGGTCAAGCAAAGCAGTAGATAACCCCTTCATGGGACAACCCGACTGCCCAGTACTTTGGGAGACACGTCTCTGCATTTGTCAGCCAAGAACCAAGTCTTTATGAAGTGCCATGGCCATGCAGAACTGTGAGATGACCATGTTACCAAGCTAGGGCTCACGGCATCGTTTCGCTGCATCCCTGTTTTACGTTTTCTCCTGAGAAGAGGCAGAGCAGAAAAGCAGAAGAGAGTATAGCAGCTTGCAGGCTTGGCAGTAGCTATATTCCCTTTCCCCAGGTAGTACTGAGTAAATAGCTTCATGTATTTTCTAGCAGTTTGGGGTTAAAGAGCTAATTTCAAGGCAGTGACTAGGGAAATAGGTGTTGAGACACCAAGTAATAGGCAGAGTTCACAGGTTCTTGGCTGTCTTGTCAGCAGTAGATGCTGCTTTTAACTCTGGGAGCTTTTTCTGGACACATGATAATGGCTATCATTTTCTGAGCACCTACTTTGTGTACTACCCCATGCTAGGCACCTTACATAAATTATTTTTAATTTTCACAGTAATCACATAAAATTTATTCATTCAGCAAATCTTTTATATGTGTGGCAGATGCCGGGTACTGGGGCTATGTAGTCCCATACCACTGGTGGAGCTTACACCCTAATGGAGCAGGTGACAAAAGCATACAGCTGATGAGTCCTACGAGAAAAGAATGTATCAGAGATCTAATTTAGATTGGAGGGAAGGTCAGAGAAATGACATATGAACTGAGCCATGTTATTCCTGTTTTATTAGTAAAGAAACTGCTATTTGTAAGAGGTAAATGGACTTGACTAAAAGTTCAGAACTTTGCAAGTAGATGCTAAGGGCTGGGATCCAAAACCATGTTTCTAGCATTTAAGCCCATGATGTTCCCACTGTATTATGCAGCCTACCCAAAAAGAGATAAGTGCCACAAGTCTTAGGGAACTGGATGTTGTTAAGGAAGGACCACTGGGCTAGAGAATCAATAGAAGGACCTGGGTATCATACTGTGCTACTGGCAACTTCTGATGTGACCTCAAGCAAGTCACAACCATTCTGAGCCAGGGTAGATAGAGAGAATTGATCTAGATCCTTAGATCCTAAAGATGGTATTGGGGTGGACTACAGTTTGAGTTCTTAGTAGGAATACACACAGCTGGCTTGAGACACAACAATGCAGATTTGGAGTTGGTCGCTCACCTGGATCTTGTTTGTTTTTACAGAGACTATGCTGAGTCTGTGGGGCGGAAGGTGCGAGACCTGGGCATGGTAGTGGACTTGATCTTCCTCAACACAGAGGTGTCATTGTCACAAGCCTTGGAGGATGTTAGCAGGGGAGGTTCTCCTTTTGCTATTGTCATCACCCAGCAACACCAGATTCACCGCTCCTGCACGGTCAACATCATGTTTGGAACCCCACAAGGTACAGAGGCCCAAGTGGGTCAAAATACCAGAGGTAGTGACTAGTCCATTATTAGTCCTTTATGCCTTACTCAGAAGAACCAGGTTTTGGGCAAATGACTCTTACATCCCAGTTCATATATGGTAGGGCCCCTCTCTAAGTACCATGGAAGAGTCCTGCATAGTCATTTATCTGATAGTCTCTGAGTGGATACAGTTCTGGGCCTATTATCTGTTACATTATACTTAGCCTTAGGTATATACAGTGGTGTACTGGCAAATATTTAACAAGTTCTGGGATGGGGGGAGGGCGTTTATACCATTTGCGGATCTCCATGGTGTAAATACTCCCACCATGTTTCAGTTCAAGCCACCAACATGAAGTCACTGAAGGGAGAGTTGGAAAGAAATGTACACAGTTGGCTCTTGCCACTGAGATCTGGCTCCAGCACACCTCTGGCATGTACTCCACTGTATGCGACAAAATCCTTGCTTTTGCCCAGCTTTCTAATGGAGGACAGATAATGTAACAGGCATTTAGGATCCTTTTTATAAGTGTGCTGGAGAAGTAACCAGAAGGGCTATGAGAAGTTACCAGAGGGACTAAGAGGCCCTGACCCTGTAGAGGCCCAGGACCAGTTCTCGAAGTCCTTCTTAGAAGTAGCTTTTCGCCGGGCGCGGTGGCTCAAGCCTGTAATCCCAGCACTTTGGGAGGCTGAGGCGGGTGGATCACAAGGTCAGGAGATCAAGACCATCTTGGTCAACAAGGTGAAACCCCGTCTCTACTAAAAATACAAAAAATTAGCTGGGCATGGTGGCTCATGCCTGTAATCCCAGCTACTCAGGAGGCTGAGACAGGAGAATTGCCTGAACCCAGGAGGCGGAGGTTGCGGTGAGCCGAGATCGTGCCATTGCACTCCAGCCTGGGTAACAAGAGCGAAACTCGATCTCAAAAAAAAAACAAGTAGCTTTTCAAGCACTGAGCCCAGAGGATTGAGACTCAGCCAGCTGATACCCTGCTCCTCTTACAGCCAGAGTTACCCTTTTCCCACTACACTCAGGATCTCTGTTTGCCTCACTCCTTATCCCCATAACCATACAATTACATAAGGATCTCCAGTGGATCATTGTGTCTGTCTGAGGAATAGTCCCCAAGATGTGTGAGGACAAAAGTTCTGAGGAGTCCTCTCACTACCCGGTAAACCATATTGCCCATGGGTAAGGAGAGGAGGTTATTTAGGGTCACAATTTGATCTTAATCCATGACTTTTGAACTGATGAATTAAAAAGCAGTAGGCCAGCTCTGTCCTGAGGAGCACAGTGGAGAGCCTGGCTTTCCAGAGGGGGCTTGTTGGCCTCCTGCCGCTGGTCTAGAGGCTGCTGGGCCTGCCTCCTGTGGCTGTTCCCCACATGGCCTGTTTGAATCTGCAGGAGGCTGTCATGTTTCTTTGGTTTTTACTACTACAAGTCTGTGATCTAGGAATTCCCCCAAAGAACCAGCTGTATCCAAAGGTGCATGTTCCCACCAAAGGTATCCATTCACTTCCCTTCCTGCCCTTCATCTGTCCACCCACACCACCGTACCCTCAATCTCAGGCCTTTGTGTCGCCAAAGTGATTTTGTTGCCGGTATGAGGTTAGGGAAGACTTGACAGAGGCAGCAGGTGGGCACTTAAATATGTCATGAAAGAAAATTAACTCATGTCACTTACTCCTACAGAGCATCGCAACATGCCCCAGGCAGATGCCATGGTGCTGGTGGCCAGAAATTATGAACGTTACAAGAATGAGTGCCGGGAGAAGGAACGTGAGGAGATTGCCAGACAGGCAGCCAAGATGGCCGATGAAGCCATCCTGCAGGAAAGAGAGAGAGGAGGCCCTGAGGAGGGAGTGCGTGGGGGCCACCCTCCAGCCATCCAGAGCCTCATCAACCTGCTGGCAGACAACAGGTACCTCACTGCCGAAGAGACTGACAAGATCATCAACTACCTTCGAGAGCGGAAGGAGCGGCTGATGAGGAGCAGCACCGACTCTCTGCCTGGTGAGCTACGTGGCAGGGCCGAGGTGAAGTTCTGACTCTGCATTTCTCTAATCCCCAGGCTCTGTTGGGAGGGTGTCAGGCCCAGGGCTCTTTGGAGTGGGTAAGGGAAATAAGTCCATCCCTTGGGTTCTCCCATGGGCCATCCATGCTGATACAATGTTAATAATAACTTTTTATTATTTGGGTACTGAATGCTGATCCCTGTAGTTAATGTGGTGGATTGACTAGTATTGCTGAATTCCTGGTAGCCAGGATGGATGCCCTTTTGTTTTTTAGCAGTTCTCTAGGAGAACTAACCTATTGTTTTCTGTAAATAGCACATATCATAATGTAGCCCCTTGGGAAATTGATGTTATTGTCTATGTACTGTATGATTGATGTGATTCAGTGATTGTTGTTCTTCCTTTGGCTGCTAGGCCTCCTGCCCTTGGGGGGTACTTTGAACCAGATACCTCCCTCTTCTGTCTTCCAGGCCCGATTTCCCGCCAACCACTCGGGGCGACCTCGGGTGCCTCGCTGAAGACACAGCCAAGCTCCCAACCGCTCCAGAGCGGCCAAGTGCTCCCCTCTGCTACACCCACTCCATCTGCACCCCCCACCTCCCAGCAAGAGCTTCAGGCCAAAATCCTCAGCCTCTTCAATAGTGGTACAGTGGCGGCCAATAGCAGCTCTACATCTCCCTCAGTTGCTGCCGGAAACACCCCGAACCAGAATTTTTCCACAGCAGCAAACAGCCAGCCTCCACAAAGATCACAGGCCTCTGGCAATCAGCCTCCAAGCATTTTGGGACAGGGAGGATCTGCTCAGAACATGGGCCCCAGACCTGGGGCTCCTTCCCAAGGGCTTTTTGGCCAACCTTCCAGTCGCCTGGCACCTGCCAGCAACATGGCTAGCCAGAGGCCTGTGCCTTCCACAGGTATCAACTTTGACAATCCAAGTGTACAGAAGGCTCTGGATACCCTGATCCAGAGTGGCCCTGCTCTCTCCCACCTGGTTAGCCAGACCACAGCACAGATGGGGCAGCCACAGGCCCCCATGGGATCTTACCAGAGGCATTACTGAGGCTAAATCAACTGTCCCCAGTCCCCTCATCCCCTGGCCTCCTCCCACTTACTGCGTTCTAAAGAGTTGTTTGGAGGATATTGGCGATCTCCAGGTCTACATCGAGTGTCATCAGTTTCTACCACCTGCTCTCTCTCCTGCCCAAGGCTGTGTTGCATATTCCTTACCAAGTTTATGCTGCATTTGGGGCTGTATTCTGTTTTGTTTTTTGGATTTTTGTAGAAAATAAGTATCTCCGGAGTCACTTGGGCAGTACAGGTGTCTGGGCTTATATCTGATGGGGTTTCTCCAGTCCCTCTGTCTACTGGATTTGGAGCCAGGCCCAGCTGGCCACGTTTGGAATGGCATTTGTCAAGTCAGTAGCCACCACCTTTGTTCATTGTGAACCTACCAAGGCTTTGAAGCTTCAAACACGTCGACCAGAGCTCAAGTTCCTGCCTGCAACTTCTGTCTAGAGTTAAAGAAAAGTCGACTGGCCTGGCAGGCACGGTATCGTCGTACCCCAATCCCACATGTTTGGGATCTGCTGGAGGATTCATAAATCAGCTACTCTGGATTGTTGAGGAATGGCCATGGCAGCCACAGAAGAATTTTTCTGTCTGAGCCAAGGTTGTTTTTTTGTTTTTTTCTCTTTTATTTTTTGCTTTCATTTCATTGGAAGATCTCCAATGGACTGAACAGCTCCAGTCAGCAGCAGTTTAATACAAACTGTGAATCTGGGCCCCACCACTCTTCCCCCTTAGCAGTTCTGTCAGCATCCCCCTCCAGCGGCACTTCCATGGAGTCAGTTCTGAGACTCTGGCCATGAACACTCATTTCTTCAGTGATTTGTTTTGAGCTTTTGGCTCAAAATCCCAGGCTCTTATTTTTGTCTAGACTCTTGTTCTGTTTCCTGAGCAGTAGGAGGTAGGGACCACTTTGATGTCAGACTTCTGGTAGCTGGACATGTTCTTGAGATAGGTGGCTGTTCATGACTTTTGTACCAGAGTGAAACTGTTAGAGGGAGGGCTTCTGGCTGTGGTTCCAAGTTGAGCCCCAGGAAGCTGCCCTCTCCCCAGGGATTGTGCTCAGTAGATCCCTGCGGACCACAGTCTCGAGATCATCTAGCAGGGGAGAGGGAGAGCAGTGACTTCAGCCGAGTCCCTGACAGTGGCAGAGGAAACAATGGTTTCAAAATTCAAGGTCCCCAAATGGCAGCATTTTATGTTCTGACCTGTTTGTGTTATATAGTGTTTTTCCCCCCTTTGGAACTCTTGTGTTGTTAATAAAATGAAATGATTACTTTTTGATTAAAATGAAAAAAGTAAAAGCTGTGTTCATCTTTCTTGGGTGTGAATATCCTCTTTGCAGGACACTCTCCCCGAGTCAGAGGTGAGGGCTCCTGTGTCGAGGACTCTGGCCTGCCCCGTCTTGTCCTCAGCATGTGATCCGGCCTCGAACCTCTTTGAACCCTGCCTTCTCTGCATAGGTGGCTCACCTAGTTAGAGGCTTTAATAACAGTTCAACGCAAAAGCCTATTGGCTAATTATAGTGCTGGGTTCAGCATCCTGCTTCTGGCAGACATTCTTTTGTCAGCACCCTCATCCTCTTATTCTAGAAAAGGAAAACAGAAATGTGAGGAGGCCATTTGTGGTTGGTGGCCACTGGTAGAGAGGTACTTCCTGTTTTGATTTTGTCTCACTTGCCACCCTCTGTTCAACCCATTGTGCAGGGAGTTGGCAAAATCCATAGAACCTGAAGAAGCCTTGAAGGAACATTTAATAACCTGGGGTGGGTGTGGTGAAGTGGGTGGCACAGGCCTCCAATGGGTTAGGCACCAATGTGCCAAGAGAACAGCCTGAACAGTTTTAAGTGCTCACTGCCTCATGGGGAATATCACTGCAGCCTGACACCTACACTTAGAAAGTCCTCACTACCTCCTAGGAGATGCCAGTGCAGCCTGACACCTAGTAAGTGCCTACCAGTCTTAGGGGATGATGTTAGTGCTGCGCTCCAAGCCAGGGCCCCAGAGCTATCAGTATGTAAATTAGATCATCAGACCTGGGGCATCAGCCCATCTCTTCTGTCAGTGGGGGTCAGTGTTTCTGATTTAAGAGTGTGGGGTCTGGTCTGGTGTGTGGCTCACGCCTGTAATCCCAGCACTTTGGGAGGCCGAGGCAGGTGGATCACCTGAGGTCAGGAGTTCAAGACCAGCCTGGCCAACATGGTGAAACATCTCAAAAAAAAGTGTGGGGTCCTAGAGGGCCCCCTGGAGTGTCCAAACAGCACATCTCAGGCCATGAAGGGTATAATAAAATTATTTTTATTGCATTTTGTGCAGACGGGAGTCTAAAAAAGTAATACAGTAAAAGCCATAAAGCATTAAATGGGAGCATTCAACAGTAAAGGAAAGAACCAACCCTCTCCTTTTCATATTGGCACAAAGAACACAAGATCAATACTGAGGCAGGATGCGGAATACTGAACACGTACACTGAAAATTAAAGGCAGGCCTAATAATAATAGTAATAATAGTAATAAATACTCTTGATTTGGTTTGCAACCTCTCCTATTTACAAGGGTTTTCAACTTCATTGCATTGCCCTGCACATAGATCGTCTAAAACAAAAGCAACACTAGTTATCACTACAAGGCTATTGAAATATTGCACTCAGAATAAAAGTCACTTGAATGGACATGAAACATCTAACTACAGTGATTATAAAGATAATTTGATGAATGACATAACATTCATAACAAATATTGCACATGTAGCACAGAAAACTTGGGTTTTTGTTGTGGGATGTCTGTTTCATCAACGGAAACTTTGCTCTTGCCAACCAGACAATCTGGGCCCAGATAGTGCAACTTTGGTTCCCTAATTGATGTTGATACAGCCCCCTTCTGCACAGCCCACCACATTAGCTCTGAAATATTCAGGCCCCCAGAAGGCAGGACCTGGCTGTGTTTCTCGGAGGGAGGTCCACTGAAGGATGCAGGGGGCTGGCGTCTAACACCTCCAGCTTCCTGATTGAGTACCTGAAAGAATCTATCCAGTCCCCCGGTGGAATCTCAGGGGGACCTTGGCATAACCGGCAGACCTCCAAACCTACCCCCAGCCACACCTGACCCTGTCTAGGTGGCGCCAGCTCCAGCTCTGCCTTAGGCTCAAAGGAAAACAGGTGGTGAGGTCAGGCGTACTCAGTGGCCCCAGCTCTGGGAGGTGAGTGAGATGTCTGTCTAGCTACGCAGGTCAGGGCCCTGGGGCTGGAGGTACTGTACCCGGTCCCAGATGGTGCTGGAACGAGCATGCAGTGCCTGTCCTCCTTAGTAACGTGCCCTAGGGGAAGGGAACCCGGCCACCACGCCTTCTCTAAGGACAGGACGCTGGTGGAGCGGAAGCGCCAAGGACGAGTTGGGGAAGCCAAAGGCCCTGGGTCCTAGAGGAGAACACACAGGCGCTAAGAACTGAGCGCGTGCGACTCCAGCCCTCCCTCAGGCCCAGGTCCCCCGGGAGACGGAGCTAAAGGCCGCTGCTAAGCAGCGAGGCCCGGCCCCAGAACACAGAGAAGGCGGCTGCCAGATGGGGATGGGGAAGGGAACGTCACGGGCGGTGCTGGGGCCTCCCAGCAGGTCCGCCCCCTAAATCAGAACCGGCCCCCTCCTCCCCGACCTGTCCCAGGAAGGAAACTCCGGGGAGGGGGCGCCCTCCAGCTCCACAATTTCAGTCTTTGGCGAGGAGCCATGAGATACGGGGAGCAGGCGACAAGCCGACTGAGGAGAGACGCCTGTTTCCCAGCAAAGGCACCGGGGCGGGGCTTCCTCGGCGGGGCGCGGGCCTCTCGGTTTCTTCCCCTTGAGGAGCGCCCCTCCCCAATCCTGGCCCCAACTTGCATAAGAGCCGATGAGAAGAGATTGCGCGTCCCTGCAGCCGCAGTGGAAGCTCACATCCGCTGGGAGGCGAATCCAGGAAAAGTTGGACCCTTGTCTCACCTCATCTCGGAAAAGGACTGGCAGGGAGGGTGGGAAGCCAAGGGCGCGCGGAAAGGGCGAAGAGGCGAGAGCCGGACGGGGGTGTGGAGGGACCAGGACCACGACCCCCGCCTGGACCTAAACCACTTTTGCTCTCAAACTCTTGGACGTCAAGGAAAACTCAGCTTCCCGAGGCCTCCGCCTCCCCGCAGTGCCCCCAGCGGGAGAGCTCGACTGTAGCGAGAAGTCTGTTGCGCTTCTAGTCACATAAATATGGGGACGTTAAAAATACACGCGATGTCTCCTGTACACTATGTATAGGCTCGGCCGCCCGCGCCCCGCGGCTCGGCGAGAAGGGGCGGTGGAGACGGCAAGCGCCGCCTTCCCACCCCGCGCGCCTCCGGGCCGCCGGGAGCCGGAGGAGCGCAGAGAGGACCGCGGCGGGCAGGCGTGGGAAGGGGAAGAATGGGCCGCATGGACTACCTGGGGGTCCCCAAGGCCCCAGCTCCTCTCCTTTCCACGCCTCCTCCCAACCTTTATTGCAGCGTCTCCTCCGACGAGACGAGGCCGGGCTTAGAAAAAGGGCAGCGCGGACCCACAGGCCAACCGGGCACTGAGGAGCTCTGGTCTCCGCGCGGCGGGGCGCCCTCTCCGAGTCAGCCCCCACAGGCGTGGCCTCCAGGCTTCAGGCAGCGGGGTAAGGGGCCAGGGCACGGGCACAGGGTCTGTATGTAAACGGTGACAGCGGCGGGGGGCGCGGCGAGGGCTCCGGAGCCGCGGTTCGGGCGCGCTCGGGCCCGGGTGGCAGGTCCTGGCTCTCAGGAGTAGATGGTGATGACCTCGCGGCCGCCGCCGCGGACCAGCATCACCCGGTCCAGGTGCTCTGTGAGGACCTCGAGGAACTCCATGTCTGTGAGCCGGTCAAGGAGAAAGACCCGATCTCCTTCCCTCCCGATGAAATTGGGGTAGCGCTAGGCTGCCAGGGGACCTCTCGCGCCCGTGTCCCCGTCCGAGGTGCTGATCCGGAGGCAGGAACAGCTCAGCTCTTCCATCCCAGGGACAGGACCCAGCTTCCCTGACGTCCACCTCCCTCTTTCCCCCAATTTTAATTCCAGGATACAGTTTTCGTCACCATTACGGTTGCGGGGAGGCCCAGGCATGTTGAGCAAAACAAGCTTGGCGTCCCGGGATTTCTTCACGATGACCTCGTTCAGCCGCACGGCCGTGTGCATGCGCCGCACATTGGACTGGTTCCTGCGGGAGGAGGGAAGGGTGGAGAGCGCGTGAGCCTGGGGGAGGGGAGATTGGAGCCAGTCGCCCTTCCAGCCCGAACTGGGCTGCTGGGGCCTGGTTCTTGCAAGCCCAGGACCATCAATCCTAAATCTCTCCAGGCTAGGCTATTCAGAGATCCCAGAGGTCGCGGCACCAATCGGGGGCTCATAATACAGTGAGGAGGGTAGGGAACCCTGGCCATCCTAGAAGAGAGAATGAAAAAATGCTGAAGCACTTACAAGTTCTCCCACTCCCTTCAGGAAACACAAGAGATGCAAAGAGAAAAGAAAAAGAGCAGAGTCAGAAAAAGAGGAAGACACTGGGGGCTTGGGCCATGGTCACCTGCCCCGAGTCCTGCTCTGCCAGCGCCCACACCCTTCACCTTTCCGCTGCTTGCAACTGGGAATTCTGAGCCTTAGAAAACAGGGCCCAACTCCCTAAGTCCTCAGATGGGGAAACCAAGACAATGTCTGAGCTGGGTCTGCAGGCTGCCAAGCCAGGATGCCTTCTGCCCTCTTGCTCTGTCGTGGGGAGCAGGACCCTTTAGCTCACCCCAGCCCTCAGCCCTTAGCCCCCAGGCCCATACGGCTTCATGCTGAAGAAGTCCTTGATGCCCTCAGAGGAGACAGGACTGGGACCCTTATTCTTCTCTGCCACCGACTTGTCCTTGGTCCAGGTGAGATGCACTTTCTCAGGATCTGTCTCCCCCTCCCCCTCAGGCTCCTCCCCTGGGGAAGGGGAGCTGCTGGGGCAGCTGGGAGCACTCTGATCATGGATCAGCTGCACCTGAGGGATGAATGAAGAGATGGCAGGTGAGTACTTTGGAGGCCGAGGGCTCTGCTCCCACTGGCTGGGGCCAAACCACCCCAGCTGCACACCTCCTCCTCTGGCTTCTCTTCGCTGTCACCAGCTGTCTCTTCTGGGACATTGAGTCGGAGCCGCGTATTGGCTGGATTCTTTCTCCGGATTGAGCCTCGTGACTCATCTGTGATACTCTGGATCTACGGAGTGACATAGGTTGTTGCCAGCTCTGCTGAGAGTCACCACCCATGCCCTGCAAAGAGCTATCACTAGAGATGATGTTCA